GAAAGCTTGTGATTTCAAATAAACCTGTTGGACTATAACCTGGTGTCATGTGAGTTCTGACTTTGTTCACCCCAGTCCAACACCAGCAGAGTCATTGAGAACTACAGCACAGAGAAAGGTCCTTCAGCCCTTCACATCCACACTGCTCAAAAACCACCATGTAACTATTTTAATCACATTTTCTGACACCTGACCCAAAGCCTTGAATGCCTTGGTGTTGCAAATGCACATCTAAATACTTCCTAAATTGTATTAGGGTTTCTGCCTGAACCACCCTCACAGGCATTGAGTTCCACATTCCATCCAGCCTCTGCGTGAAAGGCTTTCCCCATATCTCATCTAAACCTTCTTCCTGTAACTTAAACTTATGCTCTTGGTCACTGTTCCTCCATCATGGGGAACAGTTTCTTCCTGTACACCCCATCTATGCCTTTACTTCATAATTTTATATATCTCAATCATTTTCTTTCTCAATCTCTTCTGTCCACTCTCTCTTCATAACTCAAACTCATCAATACAGCCAATGTCCCAGTAAATCTTCTCTGCACACTCTCTAGTGCTATCCCTCCTATAAAATGAATTCCAGAACTGCACACTCTAGCTGTGGCCTAACCAATTTCTTACATAGTTCCAGACCACATCCCTGCTCTTAAACTCGGCTAATAAAGGCAGGTATATCATAGACCCTCTTCCTCACTTTATCTACCTGTCCTGATACCTTAAGGGACGAGTGCACTTGCGCACCAAGGTCCCTCTGACCCTTGATGCCTCCCAGGGTCCAACTGTTCATCCGGTACTCCCTTGCCTTGTTTGTCCTGCCCAAGTGCATCACCACACACTTCTCCAGGTTAAATTCCATTTGTCACTGATCAGCTCATCTGTCCAGACTGTCTATAATCTCCTGTATCTAAGATTATCCTCCTCCCTATTTACCACCTAACAAATTTTTGTATCATCTGCGATCCTACTGATCAAACCTCCTACATTCAAGACTAAATCATTCATATAAACCACAAACAGCAAATGTGGTTTGTATGTTTAATGAATCCAATGGTTTCTGTGATCCGAGGAGTGCTGTATGTAATTATATCTGCCCAGTCTCCTGGTTTTATAGTGAAGGCAATGCAAAATCACCTCTGTTGCAGCTTCAGGTCATTCACTTTTCAGTTTAACCCAATTGTCACATTTATATCTTTCATGATGAGATCAGCCTGATGTTATACTTCTCTCCCCAGTGTAGGGACACTAAAGCTTAATGTCCCGGCAGCTACAGTTCATTGTGCACTATGGGGGAATAGCTGGGAGACTTAAACTTGCTCTTTCGGGTAAGCAAGCCTTGCCTCCTTGTTTTAACTGTCATCTGGAACAGTAAGATAAGGGACAGTGATAGAAATGTGGGAGCTCTTCTGTGTGCTTATGGTGCCTGGGGATCTGTAATAAAGTCTGCAGTGGAGTGTGCATATGAGATCAGAGCCCCCTCTAACGTGAGTTGCCCTCCTGCAAACTAGGCTCCAGACACACTAAATGTAAAATATTGCAACTCAGTCGAGACCAGTAACTGAACTTGGAAGCTGTGAGATCTGTGTCACTCAGAACTATGTTGCACAGTTCATCAGTGAAGGGGCAATTTCAACCACTTAATTATTTTAATCCCATTTCCAGCACTTGGCCCATAGCCTTGTATGCCTTGGTATTGCAAGTTCATATCTTCTGCCTCTCCCACCCTTACAGGCAGGGAGTTGAGATTCCCACCACCCTCGAGGTGAAAAAGCTTTTCCTCACATCTCCTCTAAACTTTCTGCACTTCATGTTAAATCTATGCCTCTGGTCAATGATCCCTCCATCAACAGGAAAGGCTTCTTCCTGTGAACCATATACACGCCCTTATAATTTTATACATTTCAATCATCTCAACTCTCAATCTTCTCTGCTGTAAGGAAAATAACCTCAGTCTAGCCAATCTCTCTTCATGACTGAAACTAAGCTATGTACCCAGGTGGATTTCTCACAAGAGATCTCAGTGATGTCCAAATTCTAAGGCCCGATTGCTGACTGAGGAAATGTCTGGATATGTGTATGAGGCCCAGTGTATGACATATGGGGACTATCCCTTTCCATGAGATGATAGGTTAAAACATACATCTGGGATACTCGCTAAATTGCAAATTATATATTTGGACAGGCTGCAGCAGGAAGAAAGGTCACTTCTCTCTCTTTCTCTCACTCACACACACACACACACACACACACACACACACACACAGAGTCAAGACTAACCTTTCACCCATGCCAACCATTCTAGTTGTGCAGCACCAAAACACATGACTTTTTTTTGGTGCTTTTACACAACAGTTCCACACTCATTCAAGCATAAATTTTAGAAACATTCCATGGAAATATAGAAATAGGAGCAGCAGTAGGCCATTTGACCCCTTGAGACTGCTTCGCTATTCAATATGATCATGGCTGATCATTGAGCTCACTACCCTAAACCTCTCTCCCGATACCCCTTGATCCCTTT